ATCTTAAGAACATGGATAAGCCAGACACAACTTAAAGAAACTGAAAAAAAAACCCAACGCCAAGATTTCTGTCCTCTGGTCTGTTAAATATTCTTGTTTTTACTGAGAAGGTAATCCAGAGGCCTTCGGAACAAGGAAGTAGCTTTCCATCTTGCTTGATGGTGAAATACCCTCTTAATTGTCCTTAGTAAAGTATAAAATCCAAATATTGAATGTAACTGTGGCTTAAGCTGTATCTTTCACTTACTGAGCCATTGACACTTTGGTGCACATACTATGCTTGGTCAGTTTAAGCAGTCCCTGTGGAAATACAGCTTTTCACACTATTTCATCTGTGGCTGGTTGTATTTGATGTAAACTCAAATGTAGAAATTATACATTCTGCAGTACGGCAGGGAAGGAATGTTACAGCTAAGCATAAGCCTCTTTCTTTGTAGAACGTAAAACCAGCTACTAACTTGCAAGATACCTACTAACTTTAAAGTCATCTTTGGTTCATTGGCTCCAAATTGTGTTTGTGGGTTTTTGATGCCCCCCCACTTCAAATGATGCAAACTCTGGAGAAAACTGGTTCTCAGCCAGTTGATTCACACTTTACATTGTGCTGTGATTCTTTGTATGCATCAAGTTGGAAAGTCAGTTGAAGACAGTGTAACTTTTGATTAAATAAATGGCATCCTTTAATTTTGATAAACATAAGTAAATCAGATAACAGGGAGTTGATTTCTGGTGTAAAGAGCATCAAATGCTGATTATCATCTGTAACCAAGTCCCAAACTTTGAGACTGCTGTCATCAGTGATGGAGTAAAAAAGATGCTTGTCTTCCTCCTGAGGGAATCTAGACTTAAAATTTAAGCCAGAACATGTGCCATTAGCATAATGTCACATAGTTTATGCAAATATATGCCAAAATAATTTTGTACCCTGCTTTTAGGATGTTAAGGAATCCTTGATGTGTTTACTGCTTGTAGCTTTCCTCAATGCACAACAGTTCCATTATGCTTAAAACCCTTAAACAAGGTAGAGAATCTCAGGTTGTGTTCTTAAGTCCTTGAGCTTTCTCAAAGATACCCAAATTGAGGCTTTTCATGAGAAATTCCTTCCCAAGTAATAGGTTCTGCTCAGAGTCTTAGCATCCCGGTCTGTTTTTGACATCTTGCTAACATACAGGAGCATGTAAACAGTAATGCAGCTGTTTTTATAAGGAAAATCTACTCTTCCTTTGCACAACTAATTGATAATCTTTGTGATTATATTTTTTACTGTTGAATAATCTATAGTTGATAGTTTAAAATAAAGCTTCTCTTTTTGCAGCTGTTCTTTCTTTTCTTTTGGCTGACAGCAGAAGCTTTGTTCAAAAGATACCCCTATTTGTTAAGTCCTGTCTATCTTACTGCTCTTGTTGAAGGTTGCATGACAATTGCTCTCTTTTGCTAAAACATTTCAGAGCTTCACTAAAAACATTCCAACATTTGAATAGGTATTACTCTGGAAACTGGTATATAACTTTAACATTCTAGAACTTTTATTAAATTGGAGAACAGGTGCAGCTTTATCTTATTATTGTGTCTAGTTTTACTTCAGGGTCTGCTACCAATCTTGTGCATTCACTGTAAAATTTCTCATGTATTATTAAGCTGCTGAACATGCTTAAAATCTACAGCCTTTGTCACGCTGCATTGCTTGAGTATAAAGTAAAGCAAAGCAGTTTGGCAAAGGCTGTAGTCACTGTGGGTAGGAAATGTGGTGCCTCCAAATAATTACCTGTTTATATGTTTGCAGGATTATAGCAAATGTTCAAAGTTGGAACTGTTTTAGCTGATAGCTCTGAATCCTAAATGAACTGAAAATAAAGGATAAAAAATTCAAAAGATTGATTAAACCATCTCAGCAACACTAAAATTGCAACAGAGGATGTAGAAAACTGGGGGAAGCCTAAATAGGTCACATCTAGATGCAAGTTTTTTTCCCCTCTTAAAAATGACAAATTGCATATCCAATTTGCAGAAATTTTTGTAGATTGCTTTTAAGGGTACTTTTCTTCCCCCGTTATGTTTGTACAAAAGGTTGGCTTTTAGACGTATATTTCCTCTTAATTGCTTGATGCTAATACAGCATCATTAACCACTGTTACTCTGCCATCCAAAATAAGAATACCATGGTGGACTAGCAACAAAGACCAGGAGATGGGGAAAAAACTGTGCCCAAGAAATTTGCTTTGGTAGAAAACAATTTTTTCTTAATTCACTTCTGCCCTTGTGATAGGACAGAACAGGGATGGATTGCTTAAATTTATGGGGGAGGAAAAGTGGGGTAGAACAGGCATTGAGTATCTAGGAGGACTGAAGATTCTTGCTCTAGCACTCATTTGGAGAGGGTAAGAGAACAAGGTACCAGGTGTTTTCAAACTTCTATATTTGTAACAGTTTCATTTGTTGTTGGCTTCCTTAAAAGACTTTTATTAATGCTGTTTACAAACGTGAGGCAGTATTAGCAAAACTTTATTTTGAAATATGGAAGATTTGATTCTGGTCTGTCTTCTCTTGGGACCAAATCACCCTTTGTATGTCAGTTTTCAATAAATTTTCTAAAGTATTTTTAGATGCCTGTGTTTCATTCCCAATAAAAGTGAAAATCTTGAGAATATATGTGTACAGTCCTTCAATCCAGGCAGGTTCTTGAATGCTAAATGAAGCCTTTTTTGCTGTGCTGCCCTTTCTTGCTGCATTAGTTAGGCTAAAACACAACTAGCCCAAAACAACAGACTTGCCCTTAAAGTATTTTTAAGGGCAGAAACTGTATTTAAATCATAATATATGGCAAGCCCTGTTACCTCTGTTAACACTCTTCCCAAATACCTTAATAGGGAAGAAAGATTAAAAAAAGATGTTCAGGCAGCAAAAGTATAAACTTTCTATAGTTTATTTCATCAACTAGTTGATTTCATTAACTAGTTGATTTTCCTTTCTTTTGGCAAAGGCCTTACTTTCAGTAGCTATTAAAATGGTTGGTTATCAGTTGTCATGCTTAAAAACTGCTTGGTTTGGTCACAGGAGCTTGCCTACAGAAAACACAGTTCTAAAACTAAACATCACACAAGTGAAATTGGACCAAGAAAGGTATCTCAAGTTATCAAGGATGATAAGGGAGATAGGGCATATTACCAAAAATTTCACTTTGTCTACAGTTGGGATCAGCTCCTGAAGAAGCAAAAATAAGTAAAAGCCTCACAGAGGAACAGGCTTTATCAACAGTGCCTCCATCTCAAACATTAATTTGCAAGAAAACACACATTGCCTAGAAGTACTGCAGCACCAAACAGACACAGTTCCATCAATTACATTGTGTTCTATTGCACTACCTTTTAGAAGCTAGATGTTGTCTCTGTGAGAACAAGAAAAATGGCCACAAGAGCAGTGGGATGGGCTGCACATCTTCAGTGTGCTAGTCTCCATCTTCCTACAGCCCTGAGGAAAGGATGTGAAGGATCAGTCCTTTTACAGGTGCTACTTTCAACTACTACATACTTATCCCTGTAAACCATGTCTCTGACTTCTATGCTAGAAAACATATAGCTGAATTTTAAAGACACAAAACTTCTGCCTTACATTATTTCTGCTGTACTTAAATTCATTTTTAAATTTCATACAAAGTTCCAATAATACTGACAAAAGCAATGCAAAAGTATGGATCAAATTCTCACTTGTCCATTTGCTTTTTGGACTCACAACATACTAAGAGTCCTCTTGCAGTCATCCCTATTTTCCAGCTTGAAAGTAAAGCAACTTAGACTACTTAAAGTTTAATTTTTTCAATCTACATTTCTGCTATATTGCACAGCTGTAGTTTTTACTACTATCCAATATCCAGATAGAACACTTTATTACAAGAAGCCAGGTCACTGAAGTCCAAAGCAGTCCTGTCACCTTGAGTATTAGTAACCAATACCCACCTGTCCCATTCCCCATTCCCTGCCCTCCCCCACCTCAAGTTATTTTTGTCAAAATTTAATGCAAGACATGAAATAACACTGAAACCAAGAATAGTTGTGCAAACACCTGGAACAGTTACCACACTTTCAGTACAAAAATTTCAGTTTCTTCTCTTGTCACTCCAATTCAAGTGTTTTTAATACTGTAGTGCTGGAGCAGAGAGTCCTACTGTGGTATTTGAAATCAGCTCCTGAAAAGTTAATTTTATGTGGCAACACAGAATCTGCAGCTTTTTCATTTCATGTGTGTCTCAGACACTAGACATGCCACTTGAAATGCACCCACTACTTGCCAACAGGAAGATATTACATTAATTTTATTCAGACATAAAGATACTGTGACTTGCATTCCCTATTCAGGCTGCAGATTTTGCTCTAGCAGCTCCAGCCATCAGACAAACCCACCTACCTCGAACAGAGTTTGCAACATCAAGTGCTCCCAAAAAGAAGCTGCTAAAGCATCCAAGTACATACACCACAGAAGTGCTGCTAGATTGGTGCATTAAGATGGTATAAGGACAAGACACTGAATCTCAATTTCTGCAGTTTCAAACTCCACAAGGCCCAGATACTCTCCCCTTCCCACTGAGATACAAGACAAAAAATGATCGGTGAGCTGCACTGCACTTTAATTGCACCAATACCATTAAATATTAAATGGAGAAAGCAACTCTACATAGCAAATGGAAATAAGCATTTACATAGGAAACCTGTAAGATGTACAGACTATTTAGCTTTAACCCAGTTGTCTATACGTGAATATCCCACTGCAGTTTTTGGTGTCAACATTATTTTAAATGGAAAACAAAATTAGTATTTTCAGGTTCACACAGAATTGGCAAGTTATTGAGAAACAAACTTTCCTCCTTCACAAGCCAACACTGATAGGGGCAGGGGGAAGGGCAGAACAGGACACCCCTAACAGAAGAAATCAATCAGCCATCACTCCATCTACTAGCATGGCTAGAAATGAGCAATACTCCTCTGAATACACTCGATTTCCTCCCCACATCCCAAAGTGCCATAACTTGTTATCCTGCCAGGACAGTTATCCAAGGGGAGTTAGCATTACTGAGTTAAACACTGATCAGCTGGGGAAAAAGTTCATTGGCAAAGCTATCCTCCCAAGCATGGCCAGTGCCAAGTGGAGAGGACATGTCACTGAAGGGTGAAAAGGATCCTTCATATCCAGAGTCACTACAGGCATCCAAAAGATAGCTTGAGGCTGCAAGGCTACAATGACAGGAAAGCAGATGAGAGATGCCCAGTTCAGGCATGAAGCTTTCTACAGGTTCTTCTTTGACAGACACCGGGACCTCAGGGGCAGTTTTATCTTCAGATAGGGAGAGAGATACTTCCTCAATTTTCACTAGCATATTGGTTTGGTTGCCCATTTTAACAGGAATCTCCAGCATTAGGGGTTTTGTGTACACATGATCAAACCTTATCAGTTCATTAATGGCCTCCAGCTTAGCTGATGGGGACCCCAAAGAAGTAGAGGGGGAGGTTGGTATGGAGTTCGTTTCTCCACAGATCTCTTCCTCCAGCTTTTCCAGGCCCATTGACTCTGAATCGGCACACCTGAGAAACATCTCTGGGTCCAGAGTGTCCAGAAAGCCCAATAGGAGATCAGACTGCAGAATGAAATACTGTTTCAGAAAGACAGCCTACTACCATTACAGCAAAACATCAGTTGTGGCATCTATTAACCTGCATACAGAGTTAAAATATGCCAATATGATCACAGAACTAGGAGTCTTACCAAGAACACTACTATCAGAACAGACAGTTAAGGCAATCTTTCAGAAATTCTTTGCCCGTTAACTTTTTAGTAAGGGTACTGGCAATCCCCATAGAATTCTACATGCATTTGGTATTTACAGCCTCTATTAGAAACTCCTCAAGATCTTGGACCCATCAGGTACAAACACCACACTACATACTGGCTCCACAGAGCAAGTACCAGAACCTGGCATAGGCAGACCTACCCATAACCAAAGTTGGGGGGTTTGTTTCATTTTGGTTTTGCTTTGTTTTTATAAAAAGGTGAAAGATGCCTGTCCTTACATTTTCAGAAGTCATTCATAAGGGACAGGGGTTAAGTTCAAACAGCTTTGCTAAGTGCCAGCACATGAGCAAAATGATTGTGTGTTTTCAACAACAGTAAGAGCACAGTATGCTTTTGCTATTTGCGTACACTTTTGCTGTAAGAACTAAGAGACCGTTATAGGCAATATCCTCAAAGATTTTATAGCATTCCAAGACTTGGAAAACAAGCCAGCTACAGAAAGTCATTGTGTGACTTTGCATCCAGATGTTACAACACTAGTCTTAAATCCACCGTGGTTCTTAATTTCATGGGCATTTTGGATAGGAGTGTATGCTCACCTCTGAGTCTGAAGAGTCACTGCTATCAGAATCCACATGAAAGTTATTAGAAATGGTGACTGCTGGGCCTGCACCTGCTGCAGAGGAACACGTAGTCTGAGTGCTGCGGACTCAGCGGACCCGGTCACCAATCTAATCTCATCCACCTGCAATTCCTTTCCAACCTGTGCAAAGGAAAAAATCCAGTCAGTCACCAGAAATGCTCTGGCAGACAGTATAGAACATAATCTGGAAGATCAC